ATATATATTTATTTTTCTCTCGTTCTATGTAGTCTCGTAACCACTGTCAACCTTCCATTACCCTTTAAAACTTGCATGACTTCATAGAAGACAAGGAAAATCTTATTATCATTATCAATATTTTTTGTTTGTTTTTCTTTACAGATGGAGAGGACGGTGACATGGGCAACGGCCAAACGGTCATTGGTCACTCCTTGTCCTGGTCACGACGGAAGCCCGAAGTTAACGAGAGGTCAACGCTGACCGCCAAAATCTGGATGCCTGGCTCCCCGACCGACTCTGACCTCATCAACCTGACCAGCTGTAGCCACGGTCTGGACCCATCATTTTCCTCTGTAACTGGTTGACCTGTGTATCGACTGACTTGTGAACACATTAGCTGCGGTTGCAGAAGCTGGACCAACGACGGTTAACCGATTGTAGCCACAGTTCGCTATACAGCTTAACTGGCAATTCGTTTGCACCAGTTGTAGCCAAAAATGGTACCAACTGCAGTTAACCAACTGTAGCCATAGTTTGGATTCATCGTTCTCTCCTCTAATTGACGTGAGAGATATATGAACATAAGCCGCGGTTGCACCAGTTGCAGCCAAAGATGAACCAACTACAGTTAACAGACTCTAGCCACGGTTCACTATACTTCTTTCTCTCCTATAAATGGCTTGAGGGGTATGTAAACATAAGATCCAATTGCACCGTCTGAGGCCAAAGATGGACCAACTGCAGTTAAACGACTGTAGCCACGATTTGCTAAGCACCTTTTTCTCGCCTAACTAGTAACTGGCTTGAGCGATCTGTGAACCTAAGCCGCGGTTGCACGAAATGTAGCCAGGGATGGACCAGCTGTAGACACAGTAGCAATGAAGAGAATCCATCGTTCTCTCCTCTATCTGACATGAGAGATATGTCAACACAAGCTTCGGTTGCAGAAGCTGGATTCAAAGATGGACGTCAAACTGGACCAACTACAATAAACCAACAGTAGCCACGGTTCGCTATACATTTTTCTCACCTCTAATTGGCTTGAGAAATCTGTGAACATAAACTTCGGTTGTGACAGCTGTCGCCAGAGATGGGTCAATGACAATTTATTGATCAACTGATCATTGTGTGAGTGTAGTGAATCTGCTGTACAAACTCCAACTACAAGGCTAGAAGACTCATTTTCGTATGCCAAGCAAGCTGACATGCCCGTACTACAAATGACGAACCGGGTTGCACTATGATGCTAGAAACCCATCCTCACGCCACATAGCTTCCATGAACTTGATCTTTTCGGTTTGGAAAGGCATTTCCCTGTTCGTCCTCTGCATCTCCCGCGAGCTGCTGTCTACATGATTCCTCATAAAACTACGGACTGCTGAGTACGAGGCAATGATCTCACTTGGGCAGCAAAGCACTACTGGAGAAATGACGGTCTACTTCACAAGCATTTACTGGCATGTCTAAGTCTGAGTTCTCTTGAAGTCAAAGACTTGGGTGTTTCAGATTATCTGTAGATAGAGAAAATACTAAGCTTATATATTAAATTATCCCACAAATATTCTATCTATCTATCTATCTATCTATCTATCTATCTATCTATCTATCTATCTATCTATCTATCTATCTATCTATCTATCTATCTATCTAT